CCCTGGAAATTCCAAGAATCGATACATGGGCATATGGTACAAGGAGGTAACAGTTATGACTGTGGTATGGGTTGCAAACAGAGAAGTTCCACTTACAAACAGATCAGGACTCTTGAAGGTTGTTGAGTCAGGACTTCTAGTTCTGCAAAACAATACCGATGGTGTCATCATATGGTCTTCTAACACATCACGACCTGTGAAAACTCCAGTTGCAAAATTGCTCGACTCAGGAAACCTTGTTGTGAAAGAAACAAATGATGATGATCCCGAGGATTTCCTCTGGGAGAGTTTTAATTATCCGACTGATACAATGTTCTCAGGAATGAAGTTTGGTTGGAACTTTAGAACAGGACACCAAGTATATCTCTCATCATGGAAGAGCAATGATGATCCGTCTTTGGGAGATTTTACATATCACTTTGATCCTACTGGTTATCCTCAACATGAATTGAAAAAAGGTTCGGCGGTGCAGTATAAAAGTGGACCTTGGAATGGAATCCGCTACAGTGGTTGCCAAACTTCAGGAAAAATCCTATTTACAAATACGGAGTAGTTCTAAATAAAAACGAGGCCTACTATTCTTTTGAGCTTCTAAACCGATCAGTTATTTCAAGATTTACTTTGACTGCAAGTGGTGTTGGACAGCGGTCAACATGGATTAATCGAACACAGGGGTGGGTGGTCTATATTACTGCTCCAACAGATAATTGTGACATTTATGGATTGTGTGGTGCATATGGTAGTTGCAATATTGCCAATTCTCCAGTTTGTGGATGTTTCAATAAATTTTTGCCTAAAAATTCAGATGGATGGTACAATGGAGATTGGTCGAATGGGCGTGTTCGCAGAACTCCCTTGAATTGTCAACAAGGAGATGTATTTCTCAAGTATTCTAGTATTAAATTGCCAGATACACAATATTCCTGGTACAACGAGAGTATGACACTCAAAGATTGCAAGGTAGAATGCTTAAAGAATTGCTCTTGTACGGCTTATACATACTTGGATATAAGCAGAGGGGAAA